TTTTCACCATCATCTGCAGCGGCAGCATGTTTACTAGATCATGATTATATTATTCAAACTACAGAATCAAATTATGTTGATGAAGAAACTATTTTTGAAAAATCAATTGAAATTGATGATGAGACACTGGACCCTAGTTATGTTATTGATTCATTGGATAATCTTGATTCTGAATATGTGGATAATGTAACTATGGTATCAATAGATTTAGATCCTGGTATGTATTCAACTAATATTCTTAATAATGTAACTGATGAAACCATGTCACAATCCCAAAAACGAAAACTATGTAAAAAAGACTTGAAAGAAATTAATTCCAAAAGAGAACTGGCAAAAATTGAAATAGCGAAACTTAAACATCCATTCAGGGATATAACTTGTTCAGATTCTTGTAGAATGCAGTGTCATAGCGAAGAACTGTCTCTGAATCATAGACAAAGCATTTGGACAGATTTCTGGTCTCAATGTTATACAGATAGAAGGAAATTTTTAGCTAAATCAATAACTATTAAACCTATTAAACGTCGAACTGTAGTTAGTTCTAAGGACAATTTCAACAGAAATACATCTCGATTGTATCACCTACCTACAGGGCACCTTCATGATCAAATTCGGGTTTGTAAATCAACATTTTTGAACACTTTTGGTTATTCAAATGACTCAATTGTGACCGAACTTTGTAAATACTTAAAAGATGTTAACAATAGTCCTTGTTCATCAAAAATAAAAGAAAATAGAGGTCTACACAATAATTCGAAAATGTTTGACAGGCAAGTAGTAATTGACCATATTAAAACTTTCAAGCCTTGTAGTAGTCACTACCGAAGGCATAATGCACCTAATATATTGTATTTACCTCGAGAGTTAACAGTAAATAAAATGTACTTGGATTTTTGCTCAAAAAATGGAAAATGTATCTCACAAGAATCATATAGAAATGTTATAAAAATGTTAAATATTTCACTAAAAAAACCGAATTCAGATAAGTGTGAAGATTGTTTTACTTTCATGAACAAAATTGAAAATTCACAAGTTGAAGATGAAATAGAAGTGCTAAAAACTAAGCTGGAAAAACATAAATCAAAAGCATCAAAAGCAAATTACTTGTACAAAACGGATGCTAATATAAATATAATAACAACCAGAGTATATTCTATGGATCTTCAAAAAGTTCTTTTGCTTCCAATTCTACCAGAATCAAAGACATGTTTTTTTACTAGTAGACTTGTTGTCTTTAATGAAACATTTGCTTCTTTAAAACCAAAAGGGAATAGCATTTGTGTACTCTGGCATGAAGCAATAGCAGGAAGAAAGGGTGAAAATATTACAGACTCTATATTAGCCCTAATCGAACATGAAAGGGATGCAATTGATTTTATATTTTGGTGTGACAATTGTACAGGTCAAAATAAGAATTGGATTCTATTTACAGCATTAGTTTGTATTTTAAATTCCAATCATAATTCTGTAGAAAGTGTAACTATAAAATATTTAACAAAAGGTCGCACTCATATGTCTGCCGATGGAGTACATGGAAATATAGAAACAAAAATAAGGAAAGTTAGAAATATTTACGATTATGATGACCTAAAAAATACAATTAAATCTAGCAGGCAGAATTTAGATATAATTGATCAGAAAAAATTCAGACAATGGACAAGTAAAAAAAGAGCTACGAACATTAAATCTGACCCACTTAAAAATTTTAAACTAGGTGATATAGTAATGGCTAAATTTAAAAGAGGTTCTGTTACAATGTTTTATTCAACTGACTTTGATAATGAAATTCTTCAGGAACTGGACTTTTTACAAAAAAAATTCATAAAAAACATCACCAGTTATGAGCCAGACATAATTATACAAAACAGAGGAATACCTCCAACTAAAAAAAAAGATATAATTGAAAAATTAGTCCCATTGATGCCAGCTAATAGAGAACTATTTTGGACTGAACTTCCAGTCTCGTTGACTTCAACTGATTTGGTTGAAAATATTGATTTGTCTGATACTTTCATTAATGAATGCCATTAATAATTAGTAATTTTTAAAATGTTTTAGGTAGTAACTAGTTTGATATACAGACATTATAATTTTATAAATATTTTGTATTTTATATTTTTATGGTTATTAGTTATTTATTGCTTATACTAAATTAAAAAATTGAAAGCTGTGTTTTTCAATACTTAAATAAGTTTATAATATGTTCATGATATTTTTATTGAAAATAAGTTGTTGTTTAAATTTACAAAGACTGCCAAAATGCAACACTGTCAGTTTATTTATTAATTGTGATACTTTTATGATTATGAGTTATTTATTGTTTATACTAAATTAAAAAATTGAAAGCTGTGTTTTTCAATACTTAAATAAGTTTATAATATGTTCATGATATTTTTATTGAAAATAAGTTGTTGTTTAAATTTGCAAAGACTGCCAAAATGTAACACTGTCAATTTATTAATTAATTGTGATACTTTTAAAATGTTTCAGTTATAAATAAAGACTGCTTATAACAAAATATTAACATAATATTTGTTATGGTTATTTACTTAATATAATATTAACTCATATTAAACAATTAAAATATCACTTATAATTTAATATTAGAGATTTATTCAGATTTAATATAATTTATTTATGTTTTGAAAACCAAAATTAAAACACAGTAAAAGCCATTGCTGTGTTTTTAATTTTATCATACTATTTTATCCTCTTCCATTATCAAAATCAAAACAAAGTAACTGTCTTAACTCCTTGACAAAGACAGAAAATGACAAATTATTGATATCAAAAAATGTAGAAAATGGTCCTAATTCATTGATAAGTGAGGTTTCAGGTTTAAATTTTATGAGATAGATAGCGGCCTTTTGGTATTTACTGATATTGCTCTCCTGTAAAATTTTGTCAAACGTAGTTACTGTGTTATGTTTTTGGACAGCCGAATAGTAAACAAATTCAGAAATACTGATATTTATTTGCCATCTTTTTATATGAAGATAACAAAAAGTGCCAGGATAAAACCATTCCCATACAATGTTAAATATTGTGATATAACATTTTTTAAGAAATATGAACTTGAATCATACAGGTTTGATACTATTAGACCTGCTAAAAAGGCAGGAGATCCTACAGTTACTAATGTTAAGGCTTTTTGCTATAACTCTGAAGGAAGTATAGAATTTAAACTAAATTTTGATGATGATTATTCAGAACTGAATTCTGTTCAAAAACAGAGAAAAAAAAACAAGTACAATTTCATCTCCTGTAATATATGAGCCACTTAATAAATCTGACTTGAAAATTCAAAAAACTAAGTGGGAACATTTGCAGCAACTTAAATCTGTTCTCCCGAAAGACTGTCATGAGTTTTACAATAACATTAAGTATTAAAAAAGCAACTAGCTTAAATTTTAAATAGTTTTTTCTTATACATAATCAGTTTTAAAAATATTTGTTCTATTTATATAAAAAAAAAAAATGTTTTGTTTATTAATAATATTAATTTTATATTATGATCATAAAACGTGATACTACCAAGTAGGTACTAACAATATTTAAGTTTGATTAGTTTGAACAATTTGTATATGTCATTTATTAATTGTTATTTGTTTTTAAATTTATAATATTCATAAAGATGGAAATAAACTGAGTATATTGCCTGATGATAGGATGAGTTATATTACATTTTTATTATATCTATTGTACTATATTATTATACACTGTGAATAAGTTGCATCTCACAAAAAAAAAAAAAAAACCGAAATATGTCGTAGGTATCTCGTGGAAAACATTCTAAATATAATTTATATATATATATTGATAAAAAAAAAAATAGACTGCTATCAGCTTAACTTGATTTTATAAACACGTTCAAGTCTCTCCTGAACATTTTACTTTTTTGAGATACGACGTACTGCTCACCGATCGACGATATTATATTTGTGTTTTGCTAAGCGACCGGGCAACCGTTTATTTAAGTTATATATTACACCGAAATATAATGTTTATTTTAACCGTAGCTAAATTGCTTTGACTTATTTTATCCTGACCAGAGTGCTATCATGTGTAACCGCCTCGATACCGTTGTTTATAAATAAATGTCTTGAACTGTACGCAATAAAAGTTATACGCCGAATCACTTTTCATTTTTAATATAAATCTATTATCGAAGGTAACAAGATCCTGACCCGAGTCTCTATTCTAGTTAAGTAGAATAGTTGCTAACAAGGTAAAATATGTTAGGTGTTTTTTTTTATGTTATTACATTTTATTTTACTTATAATACTGTATACATTCATTAATATAACTCATTAGATCTGGAGACTGATATTGTAAATAATGAAGACTGTATTACTCAAATTAATGTATTTGATATGGCGTTTGAAGTTGAGACTGATCCTAATGTAGGAATGTATAGTGATATGGCTGAATCAAATAATTTACCTACTGTTAAAGGTAAATGATAGAATTAAATTAATTTATACAATTAAATAATATTTATCTATTATTATTTAATATTTATAGTTAAGATAATGATTTAAATTTTAGAAATAGAAACTGATGATGGTAGTTCAACAGAAAATGTAGTAAAGGCGAAAAGAAAACTGAAGTATAAAGAAGGTGACGAACTAGAATGGCTAAAAAATAAAAATAAAATAGGTACTTAGAATGCAGGGTAAAAACTATAAAGGCCTGAAAAAAAATGAAAAGGATAAATTCTCATTTACAGAAAGTAGATCTGCAAGAGAGTTAGGAAAAAGATGTGATTCTACTATTTGTAAAAAATATTCAAGTTCCAGAAAATTGTTTTCATTAAAGATGAAGATCGACAAATACTGTTTTCCACATTTTGGAACAAGTGATAGGAGAACTTATGTATCAACATTATGTCATTTACAGCCCACTACAGTTAACAAAACTGGTACAAATAATTCTCGGAGATGTAGTACAATTAAATATTTTTAAAAATAAACAATGAGCCCTTGCAAGTCTGCAAAAATATGTTTCTTCACACACTTGGACTAAAAGAGTGGTCAGTTAGGAACTGGGTATTAAAGTCTTCTACAGGTTCTGGAATAAATGTTAGTCCTGATTATGATAAGAAAACTAAGAAAGTTGGTAGAAAAATTATTACAAATAAAGAAATGACAACTATTTTTGATAATTTACCTGCACTACCATCACATTACTGCCGATCAAATTCAAACAAAATGTATTTAGAATCATTTTTTGAAACAAAATTATCTTTGAATAAAGCCTATGTAGCCACGTTACATAATAATGATAATGCAGTTAATAAAACTAATTTCTTTAAAGAATTTCAAAGGAGAAATCTTGCTCTGTATTCACCGAAAAAGGATCTGTGCGATTTATGTGAAGGATACAAGTATAGCCACATAAATCAAGAAGTGTATGATCATCATCAACAAAGGAAAAAGGATGCTAGAGATGCAAAAAATGTGGACAAACAACTTGCTATGCATAATCCTACCAAATATGTATCTCTAACAATGGATGTACAAGCGGTTAAATTAGCTCGTTTCATCAGAGCATCTTCAATGTACTATAAAACAAAACTATGTGTCCATAACTTTACAGTTTTCAACCAAGCTACAGCTGATGTATGTTGTTATCTATGTGATGAGATAAAAGGAGGATTAGAGGCTTCTATTTTTTCTACCATGATGGTAGACTATTTAGACAACATCATCCAAAGGAAACCTACTGTTAGCAATATATCAATTTATAACGACGGTTGTGGATACCAAAATCGTAATACAACTGTATACAATTCAATATTAAAATTTGCAATTGATTAACAAGTGACAATTACTCAAAATTATTTAGAGAAAGGCCATACACAAATGGAAGTCGATAGTGTCCATCACACTATTGAAATGAAACTTAAAAAAGAGAGATTTACTTGCCTACAGATTATATAAATGTATGCAAAGATGCTCGAAGTAAAAATCCATACAGGGTTAAATATTTGAATTTTAGTTGTTTCAGTGATTATCCGTCATTAAATTATTATACATCTAAAAGACCGGGTTATAAAAAAGGGGACCCTACGGTTACTGACATAAGATGTCTCAAGTACAATCCAGACTCAACTATTCAATATAAAATTAATTACGATGACAAATGGATTAATTTACCAAACAAGAACAGGAAATAACACAACTGTACTATATATAAAAGATTTGTATAATGAACCAATTAAAATTAAAGAAGATAAATTTCTGCACCTCCGGTTGGAGGTCTTAAATTAGTCTTATCTAAGCATACTTGGTTAATGTTTTAACCAAGTTTTAACAATTCTATTAGTAGTTTTTTTTATAATTTTATGCAATTTGTATTTTTTATAATATTTTATTGTAATGTTGAATGATATTTCTATGAGTTATTATAAATAAAAAGATTTTAATGTTAAATCAAAAACTCGTAAGTCAAATTATTTACACAGTTATATTAAAATGTTAATTTATTTGTCTTTCAACAATGTGGGGTAATCATAAAAGGAGTATAAAGTTATAACAGTTTATAATTGTCAAATATTAATACGTGTCACAGTTTTTCGCTTCTCTTGAACAATTTGATAAAAGTGACTTACGAGGTTTTGCTGTGTAGCCGACGAAATACAACTAGTTATAAATCTCAAGATAACCATAAAGAACATGGTAACTACATTCCTCGTTTCAACCCATCAGTTCACAAGGAAGTAATGCATCATAAATGAAGGTAAAATCGTTCGCCATTTTGCGACAATTCATACATACAGATAACAGAATAACAAATTCAGTTGAACGTCATAAACGGAAATCGCTTGGTTTTGAGAATACGTTTTTGTTTTCAATATTGAATTAAAACTGAATAGTGAATAATGGATATTATGGATATATGGATAAACTTTACATTCTGCAGTATTTGTTTTTTAAATACCATGTGAATCTATCTATACAATTCTACAAGAAATACAGTATAGTTGTACAGCTGTAAAGTGTTCAAATACACGTAGTAAAGGTTTTCGTCTTTTTCGTTTTCCAAGAGACACTAAAAGACGATCAACGTGGTTACAAAATTGTCGCCGTGACAAATGGCAGCCTACAAATTATTCTGAGTTGTGTGAAGTAAGTATTAGATCATAATTTATTAATACAATTTCGTCAAGTTAATATTTTTTGTCGTTTCCTTCAGAATATAGGCATTAGATATAAATATCGTAATATAATAAAATATAATTTTATATCTTATGCATATTCCAATAGATCCGTTTTGAAGAAGGACAATTTGAACAACATCGTCAGGATGGTTTAAAAAAACCCAAGCCAAATGCTATACCAACAATGTTTGATATACCAAATCCACCTTGCTTGTCAGTTATGACCTTTTTGCAACTGTTGGGGCAACACATGCAGGTACGGCATAACAGACAAAACAAACTTTAAATTATATATTATATTTATAGGGATGTAGTTTTTCAATGTTTTCTTTTGCTTCATAGGAAGAACTTGAACAAACTAGAGCTAAAATAAAACATCTAAAATATGAGAATGAGGTTATGAAAAAAGAAACTCAACACATTGAAAAAGAAAAGAAGTTAGCTCCACTGGAAGTTGAACAACTGAAGACTGAAGTTAAAAAAAGTAATGAATTATTAAATACTTTCCTTTGTGATGACCAGATTCTGGCTTTAAATAAGCCACCTAAAAAGTGGGCAAACAAGACTATTGTTTATGATTTTGGTGATTTAAATATTATGGATATCATTTAGGTACGTTTAAGATTCTGTTGATTGTAATTTTATTAAGCCATTTAATATTAAATTGAATGTGGAAGGAAATTTAACTAACTTCCAAATTGATACCGGATCCTCTATTACAGCCAGTGGCGTACCGACCGTGGGGGGGGGGTTAACCCCCCCCCCCCAAGTAAAATACGAATAATGATTTTTTTTATGGAATATTATATTTAGACTAGGATCATATTATGCGTTTTGTCGGTTATATATGTATATGTTCGTGTTTCAATATTCATTCCATTTTTAGATTTTTTTATTACCCAAATTCAAAGACGTTTGTTAGATCATAACCAAATTTTGTCAAGTTTTCACTGTCTCTTGCCATCAAAAATAAATAATTTAGAGTTCAAAAAACAATTTGAGACTGACATTGTACATTTAGTACGTGGTTATGAAAAAATCATTAACTGCAGTGAACAACAAAGTATCGGCCGAGAACTTAGATTATGGTGGAATTATGTAAGCCCAATAAATGACAATCTTAAAAATGCCCATTCAGCTTTACTTGTATGTGATGAAAAAATATTTCCAATTATACGAAAACTTTTAGTTATTCTTGTTACTCTACCAGTAACGACAGCCACACCGAAAAGGACTTTTTCGACTCTTCGTCGTCTCAAAACCTATCTACGAAATACAACCGGAGAATCTCGCTTAAATGGATTAGCAATGCTAAATATTCATCGGGATATTGAAATCTCAACAGACGCAGTACTAGATGAATTATTAAAATCATCGAGACAAATTAATATTAAGTTATAACTTAATAGGTTAGTGTTTTTAGTCTATAAAATATAGATTTTTAAAAAATTGTATTGTGCATGTCTTTAAATATAAGAAGAATACAATTGTATAAACATTTTTTTTTTTTTTTTAATTGTATATAAAATATGGTAACCCCCCCATTAACAAATTCTGCGTACGCTACTGATTACAGCTATATCGTATGATGAATTTATTAGAATTAAATTTAAGTCTAATTATTTAATTAGCAATGATATTAGTTTAAAATGATATACTGGTACTTTAATTGAACAAGTAAGGTCAATACCTTTATCAAATAAAGTTAGGTTAGGTTTATTCACTTACATCTTATAATCATGATAGTATTTTTTGAGGAATTTCCTTTAGTACTTAGTACAGTTTTAGGATGCTATAAACCAAAAACTATATACTAAATTATATACTAAATTATATTTAAATGATAATGTAAAGCCAGTATTTTGTAAGCCAAGGGTTTTGCCTTTTACTTTAAAAGATAAAGTGAGCAATGAAATTGATAGACTGATTAAAGAGAATTTGTGAATTCCAGTTGAGACATCAGATTGGGCTACTCCAGTAGTTCCAGTAGTTAAAGGGGATAGCACTATTTGTTTATGTGGAGACTAGAAAGTGACTTTGAACAAGTTTCTTAAAGTGGATAGATACCCGATTTCAAGAGTGAGTGACTTAATGTCTACGTTGCAGGGAGCATCAAAATGTTGTATTTTAGATTTGTGTCAAGCTTATCAACAATTATTATTAGATGAGGAGTCTCAAAATTAACTACTTTATCAACTCAAAGGGGCATGCCTGTTCTGTGCGGATAGAATAAACCTCGTCGTCCGTGGTTGTCGGTCTGAGCTGTCGTATCCCCTCCATGTGTCTACAGTTCGACCGACGACGGAAGACGAAATCGAGTGGCGGCGCTACTGACGTCTGACGTAGACGTCACCGTTTGGTGGGGGATGCGAGGAACCGACGAGTTTTTGATTTCTCGCGGCATGATCTCTCGTGGGACAGAGGTTAGATAAAATGACAGGTATTTTCCTATGTTTGAATTATTAGGTATCTATATAAAAATTACAGAGATTAATTTACTATTACTTGTTAACATTTTGTAAATTGTTAGTTTTATATATTGCGTATTATTTTTTTTTTTTTTTGTTATGCCGACTGTAAGGTTAGAATTTAATATCATATGTTTATGCATTATTAATTATATACTAATCATTATACATTCCCAATAAATGCCCTCAATAATTCATAATAATAATCTCATATAATAACTTGTAATACCTATGTAAAATGTAATACCTATGTCCTCAATTCAATATAATAATCTCAATAACACTTTAATATGACCTATATACTCAACTACTTTTAATAATTATATGCTTTTTTTTTTTAACTATGTAACAAAATAAATTACCTAACTATTCACTCACAAAATGCAAGGTTCCTCGATGATGATAAATTGATTGTGACGGTGCTGCAAAGTTGTTTTGTGCTTGGTTCCATTTCCGGAATTTTTGAAGAGGAATACTGCAGGTCTTCCTTGTCAACAATATGCCTTTTATGGTTGCCTCGTCTTGAAAAATACTATATGGACTGCATCAGTTGTTGTACGCGGACTGCCTGAGATTCAGACAATTGTGGTTTTTAAATAAATAGCTGAAAACAATTTCCACAGTGAATAAAATAAAAGTTTATTTCTATTTCAATTTAAGCAAAAATTATAAAAGTACCTATAAAAGTCATGTCGGAGCGAGTGACGAGAAGGTGATCAGTTCTCAACGGCTGTGCCAACCAACATCTGAATATGCTGTACTCCTGGCTTTCTTATGAGTAGTGTTCCTACTTGTCTTGAACCGGACATTGTGTCGCTCGTGGCTCGTGTCCAAAGAAATTCGTACTTGCTAACTGTTGTTGTGGAAGGTTGTTGTTTTTGTCAAAATGAGAGTAGCTGGGTTTGCATTTGCAAATATTAATAAGTGAATACTAGTTAATATTGTTTAGCTTAAATAAACTATGGTGATGACTTTTAAGAATCCTGGGTATAGACTATAGACGTATACCTGGTTTCATAGATTTTTCGGACTCGTAGAATTTTATTGTGACCATTCAATTTTTTTTGGCAACCAGTTAAATATTTGATGATATTTGATTTCCTAAACAGTAATTAGGTAATAGTAAGAACATAATATTAATACTACATCATATTTCATAATTAAATATATCGTAATACCTATAGGTATCATAAATCCGGACTGCCCGAGATCCAGAAGATGGGATCCAGGCGGTTTTTAAATAAATTGTTGAAGACAATTTCAACAGTAAATAAAATTAAAGTTTATTTCTATTTCAATTCAAGCAAAAATTATAACAGTACCTATACAAGTCATGTCGGTGCGAGTGGCGAGAAGGTGCTCAGTTCTCAACGGCTATGACAGCCAACATCTGGATATGCTGTACTCCTGGCTCCCTTAACTTGTTCCTATTTCATTGTCCTGAACCGACTATGGGGGCGTTCGTGGCTCGTGCCCAAAGAAATTCGTCCTTGCAACTATTGTTGTGGAAGGTTGTCATTTTCATCAACATGCGAGTAGCTGGGTTCGAGGTTGTGTGAATATTAAACTATTATATTTTACTAGTCAATACCGTTTAGCTTAAAAGAACTATGGTCATGACTTTTAAGCAGCCTGCGTACAGGCGTATAGCGCTGATCTCACAGATTTCTCGGATTCATAGAATTGTGGCCATCCGATGTTGTTTTGCCATTAGCCACGAGAATACGATCATGAAGGTACGTTTTCCCTGCAGCGTCTGGCATCATTACCGGTCCGGACATGGGTCGGCGTCTAGAAGCGGCGTCACGACGCCACGATGTTGATGCGATCTCACAGATTTCTCAGATTCGTAGAATTGCGGCCATCCCATGTTGTTTTGGCATTAGCCACGAGAATACGATCATGAAGGTACGTTTTCCTTGCAGCGTCTGGCGTCTTTAGTCTTTACCGGTCCGGACATGGGTCGGCGTCTAGAAGCGGCGTCACGACGCCACGATGTTGATGCGATCTCACAGATTTCTCGGATTCGTAGAATTGCGGCCATCCCATGTTGTTTTGGCATTAGCCACGAGAATACGATCATGAAGGTACGTTTTCCTTGCAGCGTCTGGCGTCTTTAGTCTTTACCGGTCCGGACATGGGTCGGCGTCTAGAAGCGGCGTCACGACGCCGCGATGTTTCACTGTTGCCAACAGTCAACAGTCCTGTTGGACGCCACAGGATAACCTCAATGATTTCGTAGCCCATAACAATACGTTATTTCATAAAGGCCCTACATATTATAATGGGTATGCTACAAAAGGCCCTGTTTCATAGGGTCATTGAAAATTGTCTGGTAAACAGTGTTTACCTTCAAAATAGTGAAAACTGATAAGTCATAACCACGGTTGTAAATGGTGATAACGAAATGTTCGGCTGGCAGATGGATGTCAGAAACGTTTTAAACAATATTATCGTTTTTGTGTCTTACTGTCTTTTCGTTCATTTGTCGCGACAGTAATTATTGCTATCAAGCGGTTGCATTGTTTTCACCAAGTAATTACGCACCAGATAAGCCATAAGGTATAGTAATGCTTATTGTCTAGTGTTATTTCGTCAGAGTTTTTTTTTTTTGTGTTTCACTGTATCATTATAATTGTTGTCATTAGTCAATAGTAATTACAAAGAGCTCAAGTCATCTAGTTCCTCAGATTTCAGAACGTACATCGCTGAAATATTTGGATTCACGCGCCGTGTTTTAGCGTACAGAATTCCGATTTATAAACGTGCTAGTTTCGCGATGCATTTAAAAAACTATGGGTAAGGGTGTTGTACGATCTAACTACTGTCGATCTATTGTTTATTAACAAACAACTTATGTGGAGTTAAACTGATCGTGTTTTGATGTCCTTATTAATTGTTAATTTTTTTGTTTCTCAGAATGCTCCTCTAATAAAGTCGACACAATGGTTGCGAGCTTACAGTCCAGGCGCAAAGCATTGGAATCTAAAATCACCGAAAAGAATCGTGAATTAAAACGATTATGCATACAAGAAGCAGAATTGACGGGCAGCTTACCTCCGGAGATCCCATTAGATCCCGGCGAAACACCACCTACATTCCGCCGACGTGTTGGAACATCATTTACTTATCCTGAAAATTTAATAAATAAACTGAAATTTAAAGACGTAAGTAATTATTGATATTTTTTACTGTAATCTACAGATTTATATAAGCGTTTTGCCTGTTAGGATGAAACTTTGGCTTCACTGGAACTAGAGTATAAAATCCAAAAAGGGATTGCCGAAGCTGCTTTAGGACTTGCTAATGATGAAACTGCCAATAAATCTGTGCGACGTAAACATAGAATGATGTATCAACAAAGTCAAAATAGAATTATTGAACTCGAGACAAGAATAAATTTATGCAATAATCAAAAAGTAAAAAAAAAGCCTCGCCCTGAGAGCAGTTACACAACAGGTAATATCTATGATACTTTATCAATTTAACGATTAGAGTAGAAAAAAAATAAAGGCTAGGTAAATACTTGATTTTGGTAAAGTTTTTTAGAAAAAGTAATAAGTAAAAAGAGCCATTTCTTAAAGTAAAATTGACAAATCCTAATACTCTGATAATAAATATGTTACGGTCCAAGTAGATAAATGTACATTGCTGACCAATCAAAGTGTTTAATCCCTAAGTAGTTGAAGCCATGTAAATAATTATACATATTTACCAGATGTAGTATACTGTGGCCAAGTGGTGCCTAGTTTTATACATTTAAGTGGAGCATGCTCAAATAATTTACATACCCAAATACACAACTCAATAATTTAAGTTTGAAGATTCAATTTTCAAGCTTTAGGTATTATTTACTATTTTTATTCAATACTAGTTATAACATTAATAGTTAAACTCACCTAACCAGATTAAATATAACAAAATAATTATTATGCTCGCTACACTCAAAATATGTTTATGAACAACACATAGACCATATTAGATTCAGAGCGGAGCAATGTAACTTTTTATAGCAAAAAATGCATACTATTTTTCTTAATATTTGGGATGAACAAATAAAAATAACCAATAACCATGGATAATTGAAATATTCACCAAATGTTTACCTTCGTTTGTATTTTCTATAGGTACATGGTATAATTTTCTTAATATTTTGTCATAACCACTAAAATTTTCAAACTATTTTATAGTTGAAAATTTGAAATTATTTTAATATTCATTTAAAAATTTAATAAGTACAAGGTTTCAATTTTTATTATATATTGAAATTGAAATTTAAAATTATTCATAAATCCACATTTATGTTTTAATGAGTTTCTGAAGTTTAAATTCTGATTAAATTAGGTATTCTTGCTTAGATATAATAATGTCTTGAGTTTTCTCATCGAAAAATTTTCATATTTCGTTATAATTCAAAGATGAATAACCGTAAATACATGAAATGTTCACCAATTGTTTATATTATCATCTACTACACATAATATAATTTTCAAAGAAGAAATATGACTAACTAAATTGTTTAGTAGAATGTATATTTTTGGTGATTTGCCTCAAATATAGTTAAAAGTTATGTTTATAATGGAAAAATGTAAAAATATACATAGATAAAATATTTACAGTTCAAAATATATTATATCCATGGAAAAAATTTTGTAGGGTAATGAATCCAAGAAAAAAATATCAATTCAAATATTATCCTTAGTTAAAATATAATTTTAACATTTTGATAATACATAAATACATACCTAATGCATAAGATTTAAGAAAATATTTATATAATAATTTAATATGTAATAATAATAATAATAAGTAGGTATACAAAACAGTACCCGATGGAATGTAATTTCAATTTTATATGTATATTGGTTATAAAAGTACTTATATTTGCTTACCTGTATTATTCATTCACTTATCTGTTGAAAAATATAAAGATAACACTTTATTGCCACACTCTTTTGCTTTAAGACTGAACAGTCTATACATTATACGGACAAATCGGCTTCAATATTTTTTCTACTAAATATTTTTCTCTTATGATATTATTACCTATTGTGGATAATCTTTTCCAGATATTCTCACCTATATTTACTACCGAAATAGACTTGCTAAGTTTTACAATAATTTGTGCACTGTAAATGTAATAAATAATGAAGATTGGGATTATTCTTCAGAAATACAATACAGAACCTAAAGAAACATAAAATCATTTAAAAAAATGTCCAAAAGAATCAAGTTTTGCCTTTTAGTAAAAAAAATTAAACTTCTAATATGTTACATGTTCTCTAAGCTGCTATGCAAAAAAAATTATAGCCTGGATAATAACAGAGCTAACACACAAGGCAATTTACCCTTTTGAAATGTGGCTTTTTATGTAAATTCTAAAAATTCTATGAATAAATCTTGTTACCAATAAAATAGTACTAAAACTAATTGGAAAGGAGAAGGAGAAGAAACTTAGAACTTAAATGATAAAAGATTTGTAGTTTTATTACATGGAACGTATGAGGAATAATCAATGATACATTCTTCTCATCCTTATTTACAGCTACAAGTCTTTATACCATTAGTTTCATTACAAATAGCTCCATGGTAGTAGTGAATTACTTTCAATATTTAATCTAAAATGTTGTGGTCATAAACTAATAAAGTATAAAGAGTTTTGTCAACATATAACTGATATAAATAATATGTCAATTTATACATTAAGACATTATAAGTATCAACATTTATATAACAGCATATACACATCATGATTGCAAAACGTATATACACATCATGATTGCAAAATGCATATACATTATATCTACATGTATAGAAAATTATATAAATTATAAAATAGCATTGCAGTAAGAAATATTGTTTTTTAACAAGCACCTAATATTGGTTTAATTTATTATTTTTTAAAATTGTCATCAATAAGCAAAATAATTATAATACAATAAATAATTATTATTATTATGGTCAACTTCCAATCATTGAAGTGTCAAAAAACTACAATATTTTATAAGATTCATTGAAATTAAATATTTACTAATTTAAAAGGGATACCTAGAAATTGGACTTAAAAAATATTTATAACCCATATTGGCTAGGTAGGTACTTTTATAAACATATACATTTTAAAAAAAAACTCTTTAATTCAGACTTAGCTTTAGTTAAAATGTGTGTTCAAGCAAGATAAAATGTAAAGATTATTTTTTAATGTCAAACTTATAAAGATTGAGTCATAATATTTAATATTACAAAATTTTAAAAACAAACTTATATTTATAATTAATTATACTATATTATTTTATTCTGTATTTTATAATAAAATAGTGAACGTATATATTATATTATAGTGGTCTTTATATAGCTAGCTAGCTTTAAGTCAACTTACAATTTTTTTTTGATTACAAACAATGAAATACCTAATAAAATTAATTGTAATTTTTTTTTTATTGTATTTTAGTATACCTGGTTTATATCATTGGTTTTGATAGATACAATTTTGTATACAAAACAAATTAATACACATTAAATTATTTAATTGGGAAAACAGTTAAATTTTAAATCTGGCATGATGGAATAGATTGATTGTGGACATTTTAAGTCATACTTATGATTATTAATTAATATAATATGATTCAAATCAACAATATAGTAGAATTAAAAATAAGCAGATTATTGTTTTTATTATTATTACTAAAAAATCACATTTAGTTTTACCAATTACCTATATTGTTGAATATAATGTTTTAATTGTTAATGGTTTTGTATGTATTTTGCAATTTTTGTTTTATAAGTTTTGATTTCTTGCTTAATTAATGGCTAAATAATAAGTAGGTACCTACATTTTGAAATGCAGTTAAACCATTTTATTTTAAAACAATAGGTATTTATCATTAATAATTACTATAGAAATAAAATAAAATATATCCTTATAAAATAAAATAATTGATGAATAAGAACAATTAATTTATTATGAATACATTTAATATTTTCTATTTTGTTTTTTTAGATTTTGTGAATAATCATAGTGTAACTGATGGTAATTTTGTTGTACCTAAAGAACCAAATGTACAATCTCTGATCCCAAAAGTTTTATCTCACAAAAGTAATTTAAGGCAGTCACAATCATACAACAAATTCCCTGGTCAAAGAAATTCTCATGACCCAAGGTAATCTTAAATATTTAATTACTTTAAACTTAAACTTACTTAAATTACTAATAAAATGTATACAATACCTATTATGTGTTTGATTGTACTTTTGTGCAAGTATAAGTATTGTAGCATGTTTATTAATTATATAACTTAATTAAAGTGAAATGTATAAAAGTGCAAAATTTCCATTTTAATAATTATATATATTGAAATATAATATATAAAATTAATTATAAAAATGTAAAATAAATAATATCATTATTTTTAAAATATATTTTTGCAGAACATTATACATTTAAGAATTTAATTTATGTAGCTTGAAATAAATGAAATCGTAAGGCTTAAATATACTAAATGAACTAACAAACATTTTAATTAAACAATTTTTAGAATTGGAAATGGGCTACATAACGCATGGAATACTCATGAACACATATCCAGTTCTAATATGCAACCAATGCTACTACCAAGATCAACAATAAGTTTAGATAAAGATCATGGTAAATTCTTTGTTAATTATTAAAAAATGTATTTGTTAAATTAAAAATATTTATTTACAGTAACTTATCCTAAAGATAATGGTGTATTTTTTAATAATAATTCAAATTCCACAAATTTGCCATCCAGTCATGAATTGTCCAGTAAGATTATTGAACAAGATTCCACATCTAAGTATAGAGACAGGTATACAATATTATATTTTATAATTGTAATATTACACTTTTATAATAGAATCAATTTGAATAATTTAATATTTTATGTTTATAGATTTGGAAGTTTAGATAGGCGACACACTACAAGGAGTTCTAGTTCTCGAAGTAATAGTAGTGTTGATCATGAACCTCCAGTTGCACCTGTTGTGCCACGGCATACAAATTCACAGCATCCCACAACTACTATTTTATTACCAAATCAAATGTACCCAGAAAATAGTTTGATGAGAACTCACTCTCTGGGTAATATTAAAAATGAAAATCAGCAACAAACAGAAAAAGGATTTACAGATTTAAGTCAGATATCATTGTCTGAAAGTAGAAAAAATTCCGAGAAAAAATGGATTGAAACATCACTAGATAGTAGTAGTGTTGAGTCTGGGCCAACACTTACCCATGACTTACCGCCTCCTATCAAAATGCATACACCTCCAATACAACCTGAAAATCACCCACTTCCGTACGACCCACTAGTCAATCATTTTGACACTGTAATTATTTTGTAATTTTTGGTTATTTAATCCGAATAATTATGCAAATAAATATCATTTTTTATAGGTTCCATTTGAATCACCAAAAAATCATACGGTTGTTCAGGTTGGAAAGTGGCAACCATATCGTGAAGTAACTAAGCCATTTGAAATGTCTGATTTTTATAAGTACAGTACAAGATTTAGGAAACCATCTGCAAATTCTAATAGTGCTTCCCCAGAAATAGTTCTAACTACAACTAACCCATCACCAACACCATCCTTGCCACCACAACCAGCATTACAAAATAAAGGAATTTATCAACCTTTACAACCTCACAATTGTCATCCATTGGTACCTCAGTAAGTTACTCCAAAATGATCTATTGAAGTATAAAATACAATGTTTAAAATACATTTAATTTTACAGAAACGTTTCATTAATGGAAGAAACAGTTTGTCCCATTGATTCATTTGAACCCAATAATGAATTATGTTTAGATGAAAGTGTATTTGCTAATGAAATGTTATCTTGGTATCAAGATGAAGCTACACCCCAATCTAGAACTGCCACGTTGGTGTGATTTTAAATAATAAATAACTAAAACCTATTATGGTATATTTTCTTATTTTGAATTTATGATAGGCAGCTAGAAAACGACCAATATAATATTATATATTATTATCATCTTATGTTTTAGATCATTTTAATACAACATAATTCATCTATATAGATATAATTTAATATAAATGTCAACAAAATTATAACATTGTAATATGCATAATATCTGTTTACAATGTATAAAATAGTTTTAGTTTTAACATATTAATAATTTATTTATTTATTATTTCAGTAACATTAAACTGAAAAAAAATCTACTGATTTTTTTTTAATAATTGTAATTTTATTTCTGTTCAAAAATAATTTAGATAAATATCTAATATAAATATGAAAATTAACTTTACTTGTACATACCATTTATGGAAGTAATAATAGTTAAAATATTTTTTTAATTTATTATTGCATACAATTCAATTAATTTACCTAAATGTAATTTATTAAGACATCACATTTTTAAATATTTTAATTATATTTCAGTTTTTTGATTATTATAAATGTTTTATTTTAGTATGCGTAACAAACAAAAATTTTAGTTTTTTTAATACATATAACGAAATGCACTAGATATATAAATATATCGATTTGTATTTAAATACACTATGAATGCAAATAATGTATTAATACAAATATGCAAGAATATGTAGTATAAGATAAGACTGAATGTTATGTGCAATTAGTCTTAAGATTTTAAAATGTGTATATACTTTTTTTTTACTTATATAGATGATTTTTTATTTTATAATACTATTATTATCGAGTAATACAAATCAAGTATACAAAAAAAAAGGTCATCTATTTTTTTATCATTATTGTCTTATTTATTTTATTTTTATAACAACAAAATATATTTTTTTTAAGAACTTGTGTTCTAATAATTGTATTGGATTTTCAGTTTGTATTTGTAATAAAAATAATATTATAGACATTTATGGGCTCAATGTTTAATTTTGGTAGAAATGTATGGCTGTATTTTTTTTTAAAATGATAAATACAATTTATATGAGGATTCTATAGTCTATATTTGACAAGATATGCAATTTTTTATATTTTATACATAATGCATAATACATGCACATAGGTATCAACATTTATCAAATATAAATTCATGTTCATATTTTACTTATAATATCTATTATTAATATTTATTTAAGTATACTCTACATCTCCTAAATTTTATAAAAAAACATTCTCCTAATAATAATTAATGCACTTTTGTAAAATATTTGACATAACATTAATTGTTTATCTTAACTTCAATATACATGTTAAACGATAATATTACTTATAATTAGTAACATTAATTTAATTATACACAGAATCTGATTTTATATAATTAACTATTAATTGGCCTTTACAATGTTATGTCACTGATAATAAATAAACAAATACATAATATTATATAGTTAATTTAATTTGGACACTACCTAGTTTGTTGTACAGTGCATTTGAAACTACATATTTCCTTCAACTTTTGTAATTAACGTTTAGAATAATAATTGACATAAGGTTTTAATGATAATATTAATTTGCAAATTTTAAATTCAGTTAACTACAAAATAAAACTGATTACATATTTATCCCAAACCAAAAAGTACTTGGATTTTTTGTCTGTAAAACAATATTATTATATATTTAATTTTCACATTACATATTTTTACTCCTGCAATACCATTTAAGCAGCGTTTAATTTAGAGGCTTTAATGTATAGTTTATAATTTGTAAAGATTAATTTCATTATTATAAAAATGTATACTTTGTTTCGTTTAAAAATCCTAAGATCCAGGTAACTACCATCATCGTGTTGTTTTTTTAGGAGTAAAATAAAACTTTCTATACTCTGTTCAAAATAAGATCGTGACCCGGCGGCGGTCAGACATATGGCCAGATGCCGTCCCCACTACAGCGACGCGTCGGGCGCAGCCACGGAACAAAGCCACGCCCATGCGCACAACTCAGCCGCCGGGTCACGATCTTATTTTGAACAGAGTATAGTACTAATTACTTTTTGAATATGTTATAAAAAAAATTATTAGTTATTACATTTTTAAGTATATAATATTACAGAATTGTTATTTTATATTATATTTTGATTAATTACTAATTATATTTTAAGACAATATGTAATGAAAATGTATTATACATAATTAATATTTTAGTGAGCATAATAGAATACAGATAATGTTTTAATGAAAAAAATATATTTGCATTTATATAAACTTATTACCTTAATTTATAAACTATTAAAGGCCAAATTTTCATCTTATTTTAGTCCTAACAATTTTTAAATCAGGCTTAATCCGATTTATTGTCTTCTTATAAAGTGCACCCATGAGTATGTTATATAATAAAAAATCAAACACATAAATCTAGAAGTTTACTCAATCAATGCATGATATCTATGAGACTTTTGACTTGGTACAACAATCTAGAACGAATCCATCATTTTTACGCACATAAATTTATATTATTTTAAGCATTGGAATAATACAATATTATTATGGTAACATAATGGCCTCGATATACTAATAGTACTAGGAGTCACACTTGTGACACCAAAAAATATCATAGAGCGGACATTTAACTATGTGTACAGTTTTCCAAGACTTGAAATAAAGTTAATTTTAAAATTGAAATTGAAAAGCGATGTCAGTAGGTACCTACGAACTGCACTTATATTATAATAAGCTAATTTATATTTTGAGAACAAAATATGCTTAACATTATTTTGATGCACTGGAATTGACTTTAGTATACCTAGTATTGTTTTAACCAATTATTACTAAATTATTATAACCAAGTTATGTATTTATATTTTATTATGATCGTCCCGAATCCAGTGGAATTATGTTTCACATATTATTTTGTATACATTCGTATTTATATATGTTATTTTGATTACTACCTATTATAAAGACCAGAAATAGTGTGAAACACTTCGACAGTACAATTAAGTAAATAGTAGGTGTCTATTTAGATTTTATATTACATTGTATAACATTATAATTAATAAATAATATGTAAGAGGATGTCAGAAAAATATTTTCTCTCAAACCCATGCGCAACAAAGTCTGATGATAAAGCACATTCAAGTAAAATCGTTTTTTATAATTAATTGTAGAGTAAAATCATACATTACAAAAAATATAGAGGATAATATTTTTGAGGGTTTGGACATTGGTTTTATATTTAGTTAATATTTGACTTTATAGGTTGGACATTATCGATTAATCTGGCGTCTAAAAATCTTAAGATCATTATTGGATAGAAATATGTTAATATTTAATAAAAATTCGATGTTCAGGCTTATAAAATATACTAAATATCTACATGTAGTTTAAAATGTCATATATAGGTAAAATGCAAAAATTATAATTGTTTTTATTTTTAAAAAACAATATACTTACCTATTATTATTTGAGAAACTAGATTTTAATTGGTACTGCACACTTAAAGTAAATTTTAAAGTTTAATAAATTACTATTTTATTACAAACTAAATAATTTAGATAGTTAAAATATTATAAAATTACATTTGAATTGTGTATTACTTATCATTTAAAGCATATTCTGATTTTCATATAAATATAATTTAAATACTTGAATTTAATATTATTAAGTTATTTAAAATAATTTAACCATTAACCATGCATAAGGAATTTAAATATTTTTTTGTTTTTAAATAAAGTACCTATTGTGAATTTAATACTTTATTGAATTAAAAAACTAGGTGTTATATACAGTGAACCATGTATTAAAATTTAATTTTTTTTTCCATTCACTGTTCCACTTAGAAATTGATTTTATTAACTGTAAGTTATTATAGCTATGGTTTTTACCTATATAATATTTTTCAGGATGGCAAATAAATTCAAATATTATGAATAATATCTGAAATCAGCCTTAGAAGATACAAAATTATCAATTAATAAAGCTGCTATGAAGTATGGAATACCTAAATCTACGTTGTCAATACAATTATCTAGAAAATCTACTTTAATTAGGAAAATGGATCCTAAATCATTTTTAAATTTTGATGAGTAAACTAAAATAAAAACTTGGATCTTAAAGACTTACCTAAACAATGCCACACTTGGATTCCCTTTGAAGGAAAATGATGTCAACGATTCAATGTAAAAGATTATTAAAGATGTTACACGGATTACACCCTTTAAAGATTCAAGAACAGGGGATAAATGGATGAAACTATTTTTAAAAAGAAATCCTGACATAGTAAAGTGGAATACAGAAGTGATTTCAAAAGCACGAGCAGCGGTTACAGAAGAAAAAATTAATGATTGGTTTCCTGAGTTGGATTCATAATATGTTATAAATGAAAATTATTATGATGTGTTAGATGATCCCAGTAGAGTTTTTAATTTAAATAAAAGGAAAAAAGAGGACTAGCAAAAAAGATAAAAGGAACAGAGGAACTTCAAACTGCTAAACGCCTTACTTACCAAATCAAAAAAAAAAAAAAAAACAGGACAAAAGTTGATTGAAAAAAGACAAATACACAAATTAAAACCTTGTACTGTACATAACTTTGTGCTGCATATGACAATACTGTTTGTTTGCAATACCTATGTGTCTTTGATTTTTATAAATTATACTAAAATTGTTTATTGTTTTGTTTCAACTTTTTTTTAATCAAGTCCAAGTAGGCATCTATTTTAACTTTTTGTTTTTATTATTAGTTATTACATACATAATGTTTATTAAGTTTAAGATTGCTTTTATATTTTAAATATATTACTTGTTTAAAGGTTTTACTTGATCAATCCTTGGTAGGTCCAAACTAACCGATGCTAATCAGCAGTCTTATAAAATTACAGATACAGATGTACTTATTTGTAAAAGTATTTAAAATACATTAGTAGGTATTTAAATGCTTGGTAAAAAAAGTAAATAAAAGAGGATATCCTCTGCCTTAAAAAAAAAAAAAAACAGTTATCAGTTATTTATA